TTAGAATGATAAGCGCGCGCTCGTATACCCATTCCTCAAACTGTGACTTTAATGACAATAACAAGATTGAATTTTCATATACAGGGCGTTTGAGTTGATTGAAAATTGAAAAAAAATATATACAGAGTGTCCCACGGTTCGCGGTCCCATGTTTTAGCATGGAAGAAGTGTTTGAGTTGAAAGAAATATATACAGGGTGTTTGAGTTGATGAAGATTGAAAAAAATATATACAGGGCGGTCCATGGGGGTGAAAGAATACGAAAACAAAGATAAATAATCTATTTATTTAAGTAATCCTTTTCTACAAAAATGACATGCCTCTTGAGAAGATGGCGGTCCATCCCAGTGTGTGGTCCAATCGGGACGATTATAATGAACGAAGCATGGCAGTTTGATTTGTAGGTTAAAGTTGCTGCGATATTCTTGAGGAAGTTTGTGCCACACCCTTAATAGCCCATAAGGATCTGCATATTCAATGAGACATTCTACTGGAATGTACTGCAATTCTTGTTCAGTGAATTTCACCAAAGCCATTGCAGGAGATTTCATCGAGTCGAAAATAATATCCATCGCTGGCGCGCGGTTATTTTTGCAACGGATCTGTAGAGGTAGAGCAAAGCGAGAGATGCGTTCTAGAGATAAGACACACAAGTATCACATCGAAATAAATTTATGGTGAAATATTTGCGATAACCGTCACATTGTTGCCAGACGTTGGAAATTATTATTTATGAAGTCGATAAGGTGTTGTCAGATTTTCAAAAAATATCTGATGTCGCGTAATACATGACATATGACGTATGACAGATGGTGTTTGCAATATGATGTATGTAGGGAGTGGAAGGATACGAAAGCAACTATATATTCTCTTATAGAGTAGTCATGGCTAATATTTGTGAGCGCTGTCATCAGCTGTGTACTGTACGAGAACTTTGTAATAATTGTTTTATAATAGAATGCCTCAATAGTGGAGAGCGGATTCCATTTAACATCAATTACACCTGGGAAAGTTTTAAAAAGAGAAAATTCACCTATAATAGACATCAGCTATTGTGTGAGAAATGTGGGAAATTCTTGAATAAAACTAACCTATACCACCATATGAGGAATGCCCATAGAGTGGACGCCACCAATTCGAATAACCTAGCTGATTAGCGGATGGCAGTTAATGGATTCAGAAGTCTTCAGATCACACCTATAGAAGTATTCAGAGGTATTCGGATGTCTTCAGAAGTCTTCAGATCACGCCTTCAGAGGTATTCAGAAGTCTTCAGATGTCTTCAGAAGTCTTCAGATCGCGCCTTCAGAGGTATTCAGATGTATTCAGATGTCTTCAGAAGTCTTCAGATGTCTTCAGATGTATTCAAGAGTCTTCAGTTGTATATCAGACACCATAGCGTTCACATCATGGAGCCACATTCATCAGAGCAAGCATTAGATAAATATCACTGTGCAGATTATGATAATGCTTATGGACCGAAATATGTTGACGGCAGATGGACACTTGGACATAAGAATCTACGCTTTGAGGACCAATACATAGGCGTAGATAATGTCGATTTTAAAAGTACTCTGGGTCTTTTGGAATTATTATTTTCCAAGAACCCTCGAAATTACACGCCTCTGGATCACCAGATGTATAAACAGATACTGGAAATCAGCTCTATTCATAGAGATCGAGTAGGGCGATTACGAGGACAAGCTGATAAGGAGAAATTCGATAAAATTATCAGACCCCTCTTCAAAAATAAGACCAAGCCTAAACGTCCAAAGTCGAGCGTGGAGCCTGAAGCCAGTATTGGGAATGAAGAGTACAATATTTTAGATGAATGGACAGATCCGAATATCTTGGTAGATAGACTGAGATATTTAATGGAATCAGATAAGAACAACAACGAGATCGCCTTTATTCTTACTGAACTTGAAAATGTTGGTATAATATCTAAAAAATAAATGATGTCAAAATTATCCGTTTTTTATTCAACACCTGGTAGGCGAGTAGACTCACAATGACTACTCAACTTGGCATACAAAAATATATATTTAAAAACCCTGTATAATGACTGGTAGGTAGTGTGATGAAATCATAAACTTGGTTGACTTGCTGACTGTCTTTGGTCGACTGACATTTTTACGATGATAATCACTCTAAGAGTCACAAAAATGAAAAACGAGGTAGCGACATTTCTTGCTGACCCGCCCTGTATAGCAGAAATATTTTTTAGTGTGGGATATTGAATATTAGGTCTAGGACTAAAAACAGCTCTTGTTTCAGCTTGAACAGCTGTTTTTTGTATGATTTCGATAGTTCCTTGTATCTTGTATCTCATATGGAACGATAAGAGAATCAATAATAATAGGATTATTTCCTTTATTATCCGTTAATTTTAGTCTATAACTCAGCTGATTTAATCATCTTTCTAGGCTTTGAAAGAATATGATTTTCTGTATACGCCAAATATAGAACAACCAAGATAACGGCATCCTGTTTGAACGCTCCAACTTGAACAGCTGTTTGATTTCGGTAGTTCGTTGATTTCGTGAAAAAACGATAAGAGAACCCGTGTATGTCCTTTACACTAACTCGTTAATTGTTGTCTATAGTTCATCTATTGTAAGAGTATCAGATTTTGAAATATTCGGCGGATTCAGTGGCAGATAAAATGCATAACAATGCTTGAATATAATATGCACACATGAAGACTATTTTTCATATTAAGCCTCTCAATGTATAGGGTGAATCAGTCAGTAGTCGGACAGTGGACTGAGTTTTACAAAAGAATCATATTATGTGATGCATGAAAGAAATGCTCAATAGATCATATTATCAATAAGCCAAAAAGAAACAACAAGTTGTGTTCTTCTTTGCCAGTAGTCGGACACTTGTCCGGCTACTGGAATTTTATAAAAATAAATATCTAGTAACCGGCCACCGACTTTTCACTTTGAAATTTCAGTAAACATCAGTTTCAAATGATCTTAATGCAAATTAAGACTATTTGTCACACATACAAAATCAATATGAATTCATAAATTTAAAAAGAATAATTTTCACTCGCCCTTGAAATATCCTTTGCCTATATGTTTGATACACTATGTTAAAGACAGTCACGCACATCACTAAATTGGCGCGCTATTATAATTTCAATAGTACCAACTGCTCAATCGAAAAATGTCTAGAATGGCGTGGAAACATTGGTGCTACAGATTTCTCTTCATTTGGAGGTAATATGTTATTTGCAGGCAAACTTGAGAAAACTATGTTTCTATTTCAATAGAGTGATTCTTCATCAGGCTATTACATCAAGGAATGATCTTTGATTTTAGTTTTCGCGATAGAGGGTGTTGAAGTTGATCAGTAGGTTTTATTACTGGTTAAAATCGAGAATGATTCATCTAATAGACATCGTTAGGGTGGGAGTTTGAATTTTAGGTTTTTCATTAGTTATTCCTTGAAAGACACTTACCTGAAATGTACGTTGGTCAATCGTTAGCAAATTATACCAATCGGCAACCTGCAGGGCTGCTATAATGTAGCTTGATACAGCGAAACTGAGAAAGGGAGATAGAGAGAGAGAGAGAGAGAGAGAGAGAGAGAGAGAGAGAGAGGGAAAGAGATGTAATAAGATGTGGGTTGAAAGTATGGATGTAAAAAACAGTTGTATCATGTCTTCTGACGAATACAGACGTGCACTAGAAGAATTTGGGTTGAAAGTTAGAAAGCTCAGTGCAGACATCCAATTGTATGAGCAGAAAGTTTGTTTGTTCAAAGATTTCGAGCAATTGAGTATTTGGGACAAGGTGTTCACAGAACCGAGACGCACAGCTACACCTACATCGAGAAGAAGAAGAATTCAACCAACACAGCTACTAGATGGCGATACTGAAAGCAAGCTTCATCCTATTGACAGCTCTGAGCAACAACGTCTTCTACACAAACATACCGTACAATACAAGGAATGTAGCCGTATGTTTTGATGTGAATCGTACACAACAATGTGATTGGAAGATGATGACTAGAATGTATGTCAATGATAACAAACTACCTGTATATTCAATCGACATGCCACAACATGTTAATGAAAGCAGCATCGACTACAAATTGAAATTATCGTTTTCTGATGGCAGTGACGGCGAAACTGGGGACTGGCAGACATTTACATTGAAGAAATCGCCCGCAAAATTAGATGATGATCAAGATTCCGTCAATATCATTGCAATTTTGACACTTTGTTGTACACTAATATGTTCACTCATTTTAATCTCACATGTTATTTTCATTATACTGAGAAATAAGGGATGTGATGAATAAAAACTCTGAAATTACGATATATAGTTTTTTATTTTGGCAATAAATTACATAACCAATTATATAAAGTATCGACATTGTGGAGACTGCACTGGAACCTTCCTCCATGGAAATGATTCATGCAAGGTGGAATGGATTGTTGAAACGTTATTGGTTGCCACCAAGAATTGTCAAAATCTTCCAAATTAACAATGTGATTGGTCATCTCCAACTCTGCACATTTTCGCTGCAAGAACTGAATCTTTTGGTGTCCTCTAACGTAGATGATGTTTGTTTGCTGCAGGTTATCTCGTAGTATTTGATCCAACTCATTCAAATCCACATAACCACTGGAATATTTTAAACCATGAACGTAACGCTCCACATGATTTGCCATCTTTTTATCTTCTCTGCTTAAACTCGAAAATTCTACAGATGGCTTGAATAGAAAATGACTCGTCTTTTTGCCAATGCGAATGGTCATTCCCTTTGGAATGAATTCGCCATCAACCATGAACCCTTGAATGTCAACCAGTGCGATCTCCATGACTCTTCGAAGCAAACTGACGTCTGACTGATGCAGCAACACCCACCTAGGCAATATTTCGAACAATTTCGCTGAGTGGGAGATGTTCCATGATTTGATCGTGAATGATGATGCAATAGGCTTTGGTGTCGGGAGGGAAGCCTGTAGTCGCTTCAATGTCCAACTTTATGTCAACTGTGGACGACTTTAGACCCAGATGGCGCCTCGAGCAATCGATAACAAACATTGGTCGGGATTTGAATTCGGCAAAGTTTACTAGAGAGCGCTTTTCTTGACAGTTATGGTAGCTCTTGTTGAACTCTGTATAGTTGAAGTGAGCGTCAGCATATTGGTCTCGGGAAAAGTCCAATAGCATTCGTTCTTGCGGATAATAGTCGCTATTCAGAGCCAATCGTATGGATTTGATGTTGGCATTATCGAACAAGGTGACGTCTTCATGCAAATTATCGGCTTTTTTCGTTTGGAAAAATACTATAACATATCTTGGACTGTCCAATGCAGAACATGTCTTGACGGACCAGATTTCTATGGTAGATCCTTGTGTGAGTGCTGGTAGCTCGTGCAATTCCCATCGGCGAAACGGTATCATCATAGACTCATCTGCTTTGATACGTGTCAACAACTGCAACTTTATGTCATCGTTGGGTGTGAGATGTGGCACTTTCAAATTGATGCTTTCTATCGTTATTTTAGCAATACTCTGAGTCTGAGGAGATCCTTGCAAAGCAGTATTCGCTCTCTCGACAACCTTCACACTATTGGCATCATTGCGAGCTCTCACTAAACGGATTGACTGCTTGCCCCACGTTGCCACTTGATGATCATTGAAGATGGAAAACAAATGTTTCAGTGGAATGTTCATGCTAAACGTACCATCGGTGTTGAGGATCGGAGCATTGGGATAGTTCCAGCCTGCTATGGCTAGATGACGTGAGTCTTCAGGCGTATAACACAAGTATCCTCGCACAGTACTCGTTATTCCAGGATATCTGACAGTGTCCAATTCTTTATTACACAATTCATAGGTGCAGGAATCAAAGAGATAAGCTCCAGCATTGTGGGTTAATGTACCAGTACCACCACCGGTCACCTTCAATTTACCCTTGATGGTAATGATGCCTTCAAACATGGCCAACCACGAATCTGCTTGATTAACCGTTATATCGATGACATCATTGTTCTCGAATGATTTCACATATGGATAATAGGTACGCCATTCCACTTTAGTGATGCTTTCGTCGAGTCTGGGTTTGCGGAAAACGTCGAACACGGGTGCTAACAACATTGTAGTCTTTGAGTGATTTCAGAAACAGGACACTGGATAATGTCAATGTTTTTCTGTTGCTGCTGCTGCTGCTGCTCTTCGAAGACACGACTGCTTTGGTGTACGGTGTCGAGAGAACTGGTGCTGATGATGTTGCTGATGATGGTATATTATCTGATTTATAGGAGTAATCAAACACTAGTACCATCTTGCGAGTTTCTTCAATTCCAATCTTATGATGATTTCTTCACCTCTAAAATTCACCTGCCTGAAATCTTGGTCTAGAATCTGGAGTGTAATGTTGGGCAATTCCCGCCTGCTGACTATAGGTAGATAGATTAGATTTCTGGGAGTCTCGTCTATGGCGTAACCAGGATCGACTGCAACTGCAAACTCGTAGATCGTATGTGATGGTCTGTCGTTGTAGAGAGCTCCAGCAGTAACGTTGCTATCAATGTGAATGGTTCTCACTTTGGTTATGCTGACCGGCAAATCGGAAGTGTGGACTTGTTGTGCGTTCAACAATCTATTTGAAAATCCCAAGACTTGAGCTATGCTATCCTTCGGGCGAAAATCAATGGCAAACTGTTTGCTCGAAATCTCACACTTTAGTGTATTATTGTTGGGCTTCAACGAGAATATATCATCAACGTCCTTTGCACTTGAGATGCCCAATTCTTTGCGTATGAATGTCTCAATGTCCGCAATGTCGTATGAACCTTCGGGAATATCGATGATCTTTCCCGCCTTGGTCTTATCTTGCAGATAAAACTTTGATCCTTTGTCGATATTTGGTATACTGTTGTATGAATGGAATCCCAACAATGCTAGTCCGTAATCAGAGTCTGGATCGAGTTGGAGTGGTGTCAAAAAGTCTATGGAGAGCGTAGATGTACGACCTTTCAACGTCACAATCAGAGACATGACTGATGCACAATGACCGAGTTACTTGGTCTCATTAAAAAGGAATTCTAAACATAGACGTCCACAATTACTTTGATTGAAATTCTGGTATTGATTGTTATTGTACAAGATTTTCGTGCTGGCACCCAAATATTGCGCCAATTCTCTGGGCGGTTTCAGATTGCCATAACTATCGAAATATAAGGCTTTTTTATCATTTTTTATGTAAGCCACCCAATGAGTGCCCGCATGATTGGAGGTATCCAAATTCAATACAGCACACTCGCGATGCCATGGACCGGTGGAAGGTAGAGTGTCCCGCATAAAAACACCTCGAAAATACGGTATTTTCAGCTGTTTGGCATACTTTATCACATCTTTATCGTACATTGATTTATTGGGTAGCTTGTCTAGAAGTTTTTTGAGTTTTTTGATTGTTTCTTCAAGTACAGTCCGAATCCTCTCGATGTTTTGCGTAGAAATAGGCCGGAACCCTGCTTGCCGATAGCCTCCATTGCTTTATTATGTCTTTGATCTTCTTCGAGCTTTTTCTTTGCATTTTTCGCATCAATGACTGTCTTTGCGACTGCTCCGGCTCCTCCAGCTAGAGATCCTAGGGCTCCCAAGGCGGCAAAGATTGGTATCAATGGTAGTATACCGCCACTGTGTGGAAGAGGTATGATTCTTGGTACTCTGATTCTTTTTTTACCGCCAGCCCTCTTGACTGCCATTCTGACTGCATGGAGTGCTTTCAATGCAGATTTATTCAGACCACTTCCTGATGTTGTACTACCATCACCACCATCTGACTTTGATAGTACATTTTTTATGAATTTGATAATGTTGGATAGGGATTGCTGTGATACAAGACCCATGCCAAGTTTTCGTTTGACCTTCATTCCGGTGGTGACAAGCCAAGCAGCAGCCTTCTCTTTGAATTTAGCGTTCTTCGACTTGACTCTCTCCCACGCTCTATTTTCCAATATCCAATCAGCTTTGTGTCTGTCTTCTATTGAGGAATTTTGTGAATAGGCGATATCGTGTTCTCGACACGCGTCGTCCAACGGATTGATACCGGTGTCTCCTCTTGCAAGTCTTTTATCGAGTTTGGTACCTGGACCACAAAATCTGTAGCCTGGAATGTGTAATTCGATGGGAAGTTTATCGATCAGAGAATTAAGCACACCCTCTCCGTGGTAGAGCAACATGAAGACTGACGTGTAGGAAGTTCGACAACTCTGCATATACCTAATGAAATGAAAAATATATCATCACATGATGAAGATCATTCAACAAGAACGGATGTTACCCATTGTGAATTTGGATGAAATTTTGTCAACCAAACCACCAGTAAATAGTAAACATGGGAAACTGCTTCCCCATTCGTTCAGAGCAATCTTCTGCGGACCAAGCGGATGTGGAAAGACCAATGCGATGCTTTCCCTGCTGTTCAATCCAAATGGCGCGAAATTCGAGAACGTTTACGTGTATTCAAAGTCGTTGTACCAACCGAAATATCAATTGCTGCAACAAGTGTTGGATTCAGTGAAAGGTGTTGGGTATTTTCCCTTTAAAGAAAATGATGATGTCATTAGTCCATCAGAAGCGAAAAATAATTCGATATTCATTTTTGATGATGTATCATGCGACAAGCAGCAAAAAATTCGAGAATATTTTTCAATGTGTAGACACAAGGATATTGACGTAGCATACCTATGCCAGACTTTTTCTAAGATACCGAAGCAGCTGGTGCGAGACAACAGTAACCTGTTGGTGTTATTTCGACAGGATGAAATGAATTTGAAGCATGTGTTCGACGAGCATGTCTCACCAGACATGTCATTCGATCAATTTAAAGCATTGTGCTCAGAGTGTTGGAATTCCAACCAATATGGTGCGATGGTGATTGCAAAAACTTTCGATATGAATGCTGGCAGATATAGAAATGGTTTCGATAAGTTCATAAGACTGTGATCTCTGGACCATTCATCAAGATGACGTCAACCAAGATGCATGATGATGTTGCTGATGCGCTGCGCAAGAAAAAAATCAACGAACTATCGAAATCAATCAGAAGAAAATATTTAGCACTAAAATTGGGCAAGTCTGAGGATGATGATGCGTTACAGAAAATATTCCAACCACTGACATCACCTTTGAAACAAATTGCCTCCGCGTCCAAGGTCATAGAAGAAAAACTCGATGGAACGCTTTCAAACATCAAGCGAAGCAGAGCAAAATCGTTGGGGTTGAAGAAGGAGAAGAAGGAGGAAGAGGATGGGGAGGTGGAGAGGGAGCAATCGGATTTGAACCAAACTAATTTCATACCTATGATGGATGTGGCTGATAATGCTGGGCATACTGAAGATGATGATGAGGATGTCGATGATGATGATGAACTTTTTGTAGATAGTGAAAATATCTCACCGGCTGCAATACATGATTACGTTGATCAGTATCCTGCGATGGCTCAAAAATATCTGACTGAATACTGGACAAATGATGAAAATATCGATACGGTTTATGGTCCCAAATATGATCCAGTAACATCGAAATGGTCTCTCAACGGAAAAGAAATGAATTTCCATCGAAGAACTGGAGATATACTTCTTGATGGCTTTCGGTTCCGTGGCACCCCAGACCTCTATCAATTACTCTTCTATAATGATCCATCCTTTGCCAAAGATGATACGAACCCATACAGGCAAATACTCTTGCTCACCAAAGCTCATCTGAATTCTGCAGGACGTATGAAGTCTTCCTCTAGACTCAAATACGTAGAAATTATTCGTCCAATGTTCAGATCCAATTCCAGTGGTCGTGGTTTGAAGTTGACATACAGCACAACACCTATCGAATACATGTATTGGGATGATCCAAACGAATTGGTAGATAGATTGAAGTTGCTCATTGCATCACAGCAAGCCGGAAATACATCAAACGATAACGAGATTGTTGCCATCTTGAACGAATTAGAAGAGGCAGGCATAATAAAACATGTGTGACGATTCGGTGACATTTCCGTGTTCCGTGATACTTCCGTGACACTTCCTTGACACTTCCGTGACAGTTCCGTGACACTTCCTTGACACTTCCGTGACAGTTCCGTGACACTTCCTTGACACTTCCGTGACAGTTCCGTGACACTTCCATGGCATGTCTATGAGTGAAGGGGCTAATAATTGGCGAGGCAAAGTGCCGACCATAATCGATAACGTACAATACTTTAGTCATTAGCATAATGAGTCTCGACAAATTCGGACGTGGTTCGTTTCCACGCTCAGCTCAGATGGTGACAGTCAGATCTGGATTTTCACATACTCCAACCGGTGATATTGATGTTGGTCATTTGAAGATGTGTAATGTAAAACTGCCAACAGATGTCGCTGATGTTGCAAACAAACAATATGTGGATGAAGTTATATCGCAAATAAAGTTAGATTTCAAGATTGCTTTCGATAATTACGGTGAAAAAATCCGAAATTACCTTGCTGGCTTCAGCAACGAAATTATCGATGTACGAAAGAGAGTGGATTCTCATGATCTCAAACTGGCAACGTACAATACAAACTTTGTTCAGT